TCTGTGGATTCTGGTTATCAGACCTTTGTCAGAAACGTAAGCTGCAAATATCCTCTCCCATTCTGAGGGCAGTCTGCCTGCTTTACTTACTGTGTTCTTGGCAGTGCAGAAGCTTTTTAATTTGATCAGATCCCAGTAATGTATTTTTGGTATTGCTTCAATTGCCCTGGGGGTCTTCCTCAAAAAGTTTTCTCCCAGACCAATTTCTTCAAGTGTTTCACCTGCACTCTTTCCAAGAATCTTTATGGTTTCATGTATTAGGTTTAAGTCTTTTATCCAGTGAGAGTCAATTTTTGTTAGAGGTGAAAAGTGGGGGTCCAGTTTCAGTCTTCTACAAGTTGCCAGCTAATTCTTCCAGCACTATTTGTTAAATAGGGAGTCTTTTCCCCAATTTAAGTTTTTGATAGGCTCATCAAAAATCAAATGATGATAAGTGCCTAGATTTATCTCTTGGTTCTCAATTCTATTCCATACATCTACCTCTCTATTTTTGTTCCAATACCATGCTGTTTTGATCACTATAGATTTGTAGTATAATCTGAAGTCTGGTAGTGTGATTACACCTGATTTGTTTTCATTTCTGAGTAATGTCTTGGCTATTCGAGGTTTTTTCTGATTCCATATAAAACGAAGTACTAGTTTTTCCAGATCTTTAAAGTATGACAGAGGTGCTTTAATGGGAATTGCATTAAATCTGTAAATTGCTTTTGGTAATATGGTCATTTTGACAATGTTGATTCTTCCTAGCCATGAACATGGTATGTTTTTCCATTTGTTGACATCTTCAGCTATTTCTTTTCTCAGGGTTTCATAGTTCTCTTTATCGAGATCTTTCACATCCTTTGTTAGGTACACTCCCAGATATTTCATTTTCTTTGTCACTACTGAAAGGGAATTGAGTCCATGACTGTTTTTTCAGCTTGACTATTATTGGTATATATGAATGCTACTGATTTGTGAGTATTGATTTTGTAGCCTGAGACACTGCTGTATTCCTTGATCACTTCTAGAAGTTTTGTGGTTGAGTCACTGGGGTTTTCCAGGTATACAATCATATCTGTTAAAAGTGAAAGTTTGATCTCCTCTGACCCTATATGGATATCCTTGATTGCCTTGTCTTGCTTAATAGCAATGGCTAAGACTTCCATTACAATGTTAAAGAGCAGTGGCATTTCTGAGCATTACTCAGAAATGAAAACAAATCAGGTGTAATCACACTACCAGACTTCAGATTATACTACAAATCTATAGTGATCAAAATAGCATGGTATTGGAACAAAAATAGAGAGGTAGATGTATGGAATAGAATTGAGAACCAAGAGATAAATCCAGGCACTTATCATCATTTGATTTTTGATGAGCCTATCAAAAACTTAAATTGGGGGAAAGACTCCCTATTTAACAAATAGTGCTGGGAGAATTGGCTGGCAAGTGAGCATCCTTGCCTGGTTCCTGATCTGAGTGGAAATGATTTCAATTTTGCTCCATTCAATACGATATTGGCTGTGGGTTTGCTGTAGATGGCCTCTATCCGTTTAAGAAATGTTCCTTCTATACCTATTTTCTTAAGTGTTCTGATCATAAAAGGATGCTGGATATTATCAAAAGCTTTTTCTGCATCAATTGAGAGGATCATGTGGTCTTTGTTTTTTTATTTGTTTATGTGATGTATTATATTTATAGATTTACGTATATTGAACCAGCCTTGAGAGTCTGGGATAAAGCCCACTTGGTCATGGTGTATAATTTGTTTGATGTGTTGCTAGATTCTGTTTGCTAGGATCTTATTGAATGTTTTTGTATCAATATTCATTAGAGATATTGGCCTGTAATTTTCTTTTCTTGTTGGGTCTTTTCCTGGTTTGGGGATGTGGGGATGTTTGTTTCGCAGAATGTGTTGGGAAGAATTCCTTCTTTTTCTGTATTTTGGAAAAGGTTCAGTAATATGGGTACCTGTTCCTCTTTAAAAGTATGGTAAAATTCTGATGCGAAATCATCTGGTCCTGGGTTTTTCTTTTTGGGAAGATTTTGTATATTTGATTCTATTTCAGAACTAGATATAGGCCTGTTCAACATTTCCACTTCTTCCTGGATAAGTCTAGGAAGATGATGTGATTCCAAATATCGGTCAGTTTCCTTCAGATTTTCGTATTTCTGAGAATAGAATTTTTTGTAATATTCATTAAGTATTTTTTGAATTTCTGCAAGGTCTGTGGTTATCTCACCTCTGTCATTTCTGATTGATGAAATTAGAGATTTTACTCTTCTATTTCTGGTTAGGTTAGCCAAAGTTCTATCTATTTTATTGACCTTTTCAAAAAACCAACTTTTTGATTCATTCATCTGTTGTATAATTCTTTTATTTAAATTTCATTTAATTCTGCTCTAATTTTGGTTATTTCTTTCCTTCTTCTGCGTTTGGAGTTAGAATAGTCTTCCTTTTCCAGTTGCTTGAG